ACTTTTGAAAGAGCTATCGCGATTTTTGTGAATTTTCCTTAATTTATGATAACCAGTGTATATATATATAATACATATACAATATATATACAATATATATACAATATATATACAATATGTATGTTTGATGGTAGCAATTGTCACAATTTTTATGCATTTCAGTTTTGACTACAAAATAGCCATCTCCCTTTGTACAGATTTTATGCCTGTTGCTTTTTTTCAGTTTGATTTGCGTGTGAAGTACTGTAAATTATTATTTGTTACAATTTAGACAGCAACTTTTTTTTATTGGGGTACTACTAACAATTATTCAGAATTAAAATCCAAACAAAATTTACTTTTATTTATTATAAATTCTGATTTATAGTTTTTATTTAATTGGAAAAATTTGACATATGAAAAATAAATTATCTGTTTTGATTTGTATTTTTATATAACTAAGAAAATAATCACACTAATTCAACTAAACTTACTGCAAAAATTATAGCTTTGCGACTGCTAAAAAACATTACTCAGATCTCTGAGTGCAATATTTTTCTTAAGCTGTCATTGTAAAGTGTTATATTGGCTTAAAATTGCTGAGTTAAAATGAATATTTTAAATTGTTAGGATAAAAAGTTTTTTTCTTTCTGAGACTATGAAAATTCCCTAGCTCAGTTTATGGACCTTAGATAATAAAAAATATGTTACTTACCTGCCAACTTTTACGCATTTGGCGTAAAATTTTATTTCTACATTTAAAGTGGTAGTAAAATGAATGTTTTCTGTACATTCCTTGCATTTATAAGTTTAATTTATAATCTTTTTGACCACCACTATTTTTAAAAAAAATTAAGCATACTTATTAATAAGTAATATGGTCATGGTAGTCCGCTTAAGCATTTTCAAATTGCAGCATATGTTTCTGCCTAAAATTGTAATTTAAATTCCATTTTACTACCACTGGGGAAAATCATCCTCGAAAGGATTGAAGGTTGGCAGGTATGATGTTAATTTTACCTATTCATATTATTTTGTTAACTAATTCTTATATCCTCTCAATAGATGCTTCTATTCAGTATGTGACATCTGAGGAATATCAGTGTGTGCCAAATAGTTCAAATGTTTCCCCAATAGAACATGCAGAGTACATGGAAGTTGAAGCTAACTCAGTGCAAAGCAGCAGTGACTTGTCCCTCACATCGGATGGCAGTGAGGTCTCTTTTAAAGAGCGGTAGCATTTGACCTTCAACATGACCTTCACAGTTCATTGAGTTTTTAACTTTCTTCCCTAGTTGTGCAACAAAATATTTTGATATAATTTTATTACCTCTGAAGTTTAAATTTTTTTTTTTACTTGATTTTTTTAAATAGTATTTTGTCATGCAGTAACAAAGAACATAAACTGTTTTTTTTTTAAGGTGCATGGCAGAATAATCTGAACAAGATGTTATTGGGTTACTTATGTATTTTTTCGTATTTGAATTTGCTGTTCAATGATACGCTGTTTGTAAAGAAGCAGTCCGAAACTGTCTAACAAATAATATTTTTTAACAATTTATTCATTTACAGATTTCATAATTACCCTTGAATTAAGTTCCTTAAAAGTGTTAGTTTAAGAAAGTACACCTAGGTTTTAAGACACTTTTTCTGTTTTAGTATTTGGCTTCATAAAGTATGAGTCTTCTGTTGATATGCCACATCCAACTCCTGGCAATTTAATGCAAGTGTATTAGGTTATTTGTTTTTTATTTTCATCTTTTTAGAATATGTGTCCTTGTAACTGTCAACTCTTCAAGGAGGCTATAGTTTATATTTAAACCGATAGCAAGATTTCTGCTTGCAATACATTTGGTTTATCATTATATTGACTTCCACTTAATGCAAATGAATTGTTATATATTGTATCATAATGACTTGAAATATGACTGATAGATACGTCTGTTCAAACACTCGTGATTTATTACTATTTATCCCTCCTTATTAGTGCCTACACTCTATGGGCCCTTTTTAGATATTTTTTGTAAAAATGCATCAAGTAGCTGTATGAATTATTTTTTAACCTACTTTGTGTTTCCATTGAATCAATAGCTGATAATATTTTTTTTGTTTGTTTTTAAATCCGACTCCAGAAAAGTGTGCTACGTGTTTTTAAATTTTTATTAATTTTAATTCCTCTGCATTTTATGTTTAATGATTTTTTAAAATCCAACTCAAAAGGAGCTGGAGATTGTTGTTCTGAATTTGACTAAATATTTTAACGCCTTTCAGTTGAATGTCTTTTAAAAAAAAGATAGTGAACTACAAATTGTAATTTGCAGACTTTTAATTAATTTAGCCAATTTTTTTTATAAGGCTCAACGTGACTTAACTGTAACAAAGTAGCATATCACATAAGTCTTCGAATTATTTAGAAGTAGTGGTGAGTAAAAAACCTAAAAATCGAATTTACTAAACCAAGAGCCATTCCAAGAGTTTAATTTTCACGGTTTCAACTAAGTGGGTTTCATATTTTTGAAGCAAATAAAGTTTTACTAACAGTCATACTTTTTTTTGGACAGTTTCAAAAGATAATTTTCAAGAAATGTGTGAAAAATTTCGTGTAGAATCCTAATTACGTGATCGTGCTAATACAAATAGAATTTTTGACATTACAAATCATTTTTTTTTAAAAGGTTTTACATTAAAAATAAATTCTTGTTTATGTAAGGTTCACTATAAATGTGTTTGGCTATACTTCATTATTTTCATTTCAAATAAATGATAAGTCTCAAGTTTTTGTAAATCATGTTCTTATACTTTTCATGGTTAAAAAACAGGGTTGGGGTTTTGGACGTCCTAAACTGGTTTTGGACATGACACGTGGGTTTTACTGTTTTTAAACTGCCCTAAACGGACTGAAACTGTCTTAAAGTGTCCTAAACCTTGGACATTGGCAAAAGGTACAAAATTCTATTTGTGTAACCACTGTATGTATAATAATTACATATATTAATACATATTTGATACTTTTCATACAATTTGTTTTAACTTTTGAAGCACCATAATTCATTGAACAACGAAAGTGAATACCTTTAAATATGAATAAATATGCTTTTAATACTAATAAATTAAGTTTTTGCGTAAGGATAAATAAATGCAATATTAAAAAGGATGATAAGCTTTTTTAATAAAACAAAAAACTTGTCTGTTTCTTGTTCAAAAATTAACCTTTTATATTTCACAATATTTTTTTACAATTATGACATAATATGAATAAAATGGTTTCAGATAGTTTAAGACAGTTTTAGACAAAAAGGGGTTTTGGACAGGACTGTTTTGAACCGTGAATTAATTCTTTCTGTCCTAAACCATGCCAACTCTGTTAAAAGATATTATTAGAAATAGGGACTTATAGATTGTTTTACTTAATGTCCATAAGGCAATATTTTATATCACAATCAAGTTGTACTTAAACTGCAACTGTAAAAAATGTTAAATTTTGGCCGCATGTTTATAATATGTATAAGAAATCGCTTGTAGTGTTGTTGCTTTTAGCTTGAAATGTTCATACGATGAACTTTTTTTTAATTTTAATCAATCATATTCTTCTCATTTTGTACATTGATCTTCATTAGTAGCATTCATTAAAACACTTAGGAAGTTTTTAAAACACTTTTCAAGTTTTGGCAGCAGCTAAAATAAAAACCTGTACATGATTGTAAATATTGTTGTTCTGTAAATTTCACTTTGTTTACTATTATTTGATATTTATGTAATTGTGTCAGATTGCTGTATGCATTTTCATATTTTCTAATTATTCATGTTGCTTTTTTTCTTGTCTTTTTTTAGAAACTATGATAATATAGATTTTTAAATGTTTTAAATTTGCTATAATCTTTATCATTAAATACTGAAGTAATATTTATTGACATAGTAAGCAACATTTTATTCAAGTGAAAACGAGAATGAATTTATAATGTTTCATTTTGTTTTAACTTATTTTTTGATACACAAGAAATGTAAATAATAGGGTCATGTGATGTATAAACTTGATTAAAAGCTGTACATTTTTGATAAATATTGGAATAAATGTCAGCAAAATTATAATATAGATTTTTAAATGTTTTAAATTTACTATAATCTTTATCATTAAAGACTGAAGTAATATTTATTTACATAATAAGTAACATTTTATTCAAGTAAAAACAAGTGGAAAATTTCATTTTGAATTTTTAATGTTACATTTTGTTTTGACTTATTCTTCGATATGCAAGAAATGTAAATGATAGTGTCATGTGACATATAAACTAAATTAAAAACTGTACATTTTTGATGAATATTAAAATGCAAAATTAGGTAAAGTGGTTATAATGTTCGACATAATTTATTTTCAAGTTGGATTTGACTTATATATTAATTTGTGATAGTTAGATATCGTATTTAACTAAAGATACATACAAAAAATAACTTATAAAAAACTCGCAGAATTGAAAAAAATTTTAATATTGGACAATCTTTTTTTTAACTCAAATGTTTTTGTTCAAGTTATATTTAAATTACACAGTTTCTAAATTTAAAAAAAGTTTATTCTCAAAGCAGAATTAAACTTGAATATTGTATTCAGATCTAATTCAGCCTCTGATGAAAGAAATTCACCCTTTTCAAAGAATTAACAAATATCTTGAGACAGTAGAAACTTGATCGATCGTTTCTCGAGTGAAAATTTATTATGAATCGTGGATATGGGAAAACGACGAATGGGGGTCAATAGATAATAATTAATTATATATATTAACAATTAATGATTTGAAAATTAATAAAGAAATAATGAATAGACTTGAGAATGTATAAATTTACAATAAGTGTGAAAAATTTTCATGGAGAAAACTATTTACTTACTGCAAATTATTTTTAATGCAAAAGAAAGACTAATGCATTTATTTATTTAAACTATGTAGAAATTTTAATTTGAACACACTCTTTTCTTCTTAATGCAAACTATAAATTTTCGGCATTTGTAACAGATATAAAAAAAAAATCATTGTGAATTAGAAAATTTCTTGTGAAAGTGCAAAATATGTTGATTTCAAATCTTTGCACTGGTTGTGGTTCCCTTTCACGCCTTCATTTGTATCATTTGCAACCCATCAGTTTCTACAACCATTTTGGCAATCAACATCACACCACATGTTTCATAATTTTTATTTACTGATGCAAAAATATGAAATCTGATGCTTGCAGTATTTTTTTCACAATTTCTTCTTTTTAACAATCTATTCACATTTTCTTCAACATTAGCATCATGAGTTACTCTTTCTTTTCTAAGCCAAATAATTATTTTTATAAATTTTCTCCCCTTCAAATTCCAGTTAAATTTGTGATTGATAGATCCGAAAAAAAGTTTCTAAATTCTATATCTATCTAAACTGGTATTTGCAGTCTAGAAACCGTTAAATACATTGACGAGACCGTTAAAATGAGGGAAAACAAAAAATTCAGGAACGATGGATCGAGGTTTGACTGTAATTTTTTAAATTAATTTCGTTTTTTATAAAAGATGTAATAACTATTTCTGGAACCAGTTAAGAATGTAAGAGAAACTACAAGCTATTTAACTTTTGTTTTTAAAAATTATATGATGTATTAAGGAGTCAATTATTCAGTAAGAATTATATTTATCTATCAACCAAAGCTGCTCTAAAAATTTTTAACACAGAAAAATATTCTTTTATAATAAAATAACACAAATTTCTTGTCTATTTTTGTTATTATGACCACTTTACCCACCTCTCATTGTTTAAGAATTCATAAAACATTCTTAAAATAAAATAACAAAATGGTGATTTATCAAAAAGAAAAAAGTTTTGAAATTGTGTGCGATGCGTTCTTTTTAGAACACATTCGGTTCAATTTAAATTCTTATTACATTTTTGAAGGTAATGTAAAATTTAACAATTTCATATAGTAGTTACAAGTCTAGTAAAAGTGTAAAAAGGGTGTATTACAACCTAATTATGCAAATCTGTCCAAAACACATTGAAAAACATATTGAAAATGTGATAAATATTATAAAAATATGATGAAATTTTTCCTAAGCCAATGTAAAAGTATAAGTGTTTCAAATTTTTTAAACTTGTCATTACAAATCTATTAAAATGTTACATGAACAACTGATTTGTAAGAAAACAAATATCAGTAGATCTAAATAAATGTACATACGTAGCTTGTTGGTGCTATTTAGTGTCACAATGTTCCTTACCTTAGTTAAATTGTGTTGCTCAGAATAAAAATGGCTGATCTCAACTAATCTATAATTTTGTGATAAATGTATGACCGAAGGCATAAAATTAGCTGGTCTTGGCATGTTTTATACTACCATAGTCTGTTATTTGAAATAATAGGTAGTAGTTTTCAAAACATGTTCCGTGCAGGGTATTAGTGTCACCTGGAAAGTCATGGATTTCGGTATTGAACACAATTTGTCATGATTTTAACTATTTTTTTTAAAAAAATCATTGGAAGTCATGGATTTAGGTCGCTGAAAAATCTAATTTTTCAAAATGGAATATAACCCCCTAATTTCACAGTGTTCCGATGTTCAGAATACCTGAAAATTTGTAACAAAAACTCCACTCAGTCATATTTTATTAAAATATAACATGTTTTTATAATGTTCTTTAAAAATTATGGTGTTCTTTCAAAAATGAAAGAAAGAACATCATTTCTAGAGCGAATTTTCTTTTAAACTTCTGTGATTACCAAATTTTTTTTTATTTCATCAATTTAAAATTCTTGCTGAAGTAAGGCAGTCATTGGTGACTTTTTTTTTTTTAATTCGGAAATGGGAACAGAAAAATCAGGAGTATTTCTTTCCTTCTGGATGAACCAGAAAATTATCTTTTGAATCTGCAGAAAAAAAATTTTTTTTGCTTTTGTATTTTTTCAGCTATTTTATTGCTTCAACTCTTTCTTTACTCTGTTTTTAAAATCTATAAACATGAAGATGCAGAGTATAACAGTTTTGGTTATACCTATCAATTCAATTAATGTTATTATAATGCTTTTTTAAATTAATAATTGTGTTTTTGTCCGAGAAAATAGCAACTTCGTTAAGTCATGAAAAAGTCTTGGAATTAGTTATGAAAAGTCATGAATTTGTAAATCTAAAGTGTAGCAGATAAAATTCACTAAAATTCCGAGAGTTGGGCCTTTTTTTTTACATAATAATTTTTTTAAAATTATTTTTGAAATCTGTATTGAAAAAAGTTAATAACGAAATTTTTTCAGTATTTCGATTATTTTTCACCAATTATAATTGCCTGTTAAAAAATTACAGAATTTAAAAAAAATATTTATTGTAACGATATATTAAATAAATTATGAAAAAATATGCATTTAGAAAGAAATTACATTTGTATTCTCTATCAAACTTTTCAATTCAAAATAATATTAGTGAATTTAGTAATAAAAAATTATGATTTTTTGATAACTAAACACAAAGCTCATTTTTTTGGGGTGTTATTTCAACGAAAACTATCGGTTATTGGCTGGTTTTTATTCATTTTCAGCTTATGCATGCAACAAAAACTTAATTCGCAGCTAGACTAGATGCCGCTGCAGTCCTACAAATTTAACTGTCCGACTTACTTCACATTGAATATTTTCAAAATAATTTGTAGTCTTATCTTCGATTAACGGCTGAACTATTAATAAATTTTATATATTAAGTCAATGTTCCATTAAAATAAGGTCGATCATGTGGGGTTCCATACCTGAATGGAGCTGATGGGAATGGTTAATTTAGGGGCACCGCCAACTGCTACAATTATATTTTGTTTCTTGGTTATAAACAAATTGTTACATCTAAGTCAACAATTATTCAGGCGAAAGATCTTAAGATGATGTTTTGTATTTACGCAGATGGATTACCCTTTCCATGGATTCCTACGCAGACTGATCCAAGTGATCACCCACTGACCGCAGCCAGTGATGCTTGACTTCGGTGATTTGCTGGGAACCGTGTCTTAACGATCAGTCCACTGCGGGACTGTTTTAACTAAAGTAAGAGATTATTTAGCAACAGTGCAAAAAAGAATCTTTTTTTTTTTTTTTTAAAATATTGCATTGCAATTTTAAATAGTAATTTTGCTTTCTGAAGAGTGGCCATAGAACAGGGAAAAGTCGAGGAAATTTTATCAATCGGCAAAAATTAGGGAATTTAACTAATATACCCACTAAATCAATGTAAATAAATCGAATTGAATTTGGGGTACCTCAAAAGTCCAATATTTTTTGCTAAAAAATTAGGCCTTGTAATAATTTTTTTTGACAAAATTGTTTATTTACAACCTTTATGGCAAATATAAATATTTTGTAATATATTATGGATAAAAACAAGGCATAACTTAAAAATTAAAACAAAACGAAAAGTCTTGGCCTTATTTTTTTTCTGAGTATTTGATTTTACATTTTAACTCCACATGTTCACTGAAAACAGTTTTACACAAAATTTATTATAAAACTAAATTTAACTAATTTTCCATTGAGTAATTCTAAAACAGTAACTAAATATTTTTTTACTCAAAATATTGCTTGGTAATGTCATATTTAATATTCTGGAGAAAGCTAAGAGTCCACCCCAGGCTACTATGCCATTTATGATGATGAAATATGATTGAATAAAACCTGAAAAAAAACACGAATTATGCTGAGATATTTGGATCTTATTAGTTTATTAATGGTCTTATCTAATAAAGAAATAATATGCCACTCTGCTTTAATGATTTATATTCGTTGCTGCGATACGATCAAACTTTTTCATCAAAAGATGGTTATGCATTATAAAAGTGGCCATAGTATATTGTCATACATAGATCTCAAAATTATGTCAGTTTTATTTTGAACTTCTCAATTGGATTTTTTTACCGTTGATGATCAGCCGACCCAAATTTGAGTTTACAACTACCCATGTGCAACTCCGTAGCCTTGTAATCTTGAACCCAATTCAGAAGACAAGGGAAGTCTTGGATCAGTTCCCCCAGAGGCATTGATTTGTTATGGGAACTTGGAGGACTTTGTGCCCTACCAATCAGTCTATCTCCGCCTTCTCAATTGGGTTGCTAAACATTGTTTCTTTAACATGATAGAATATATAATGTAATGGCTGTAAATATTTATCTTCATGTAATTTTTTAAAATATTTTTTGCCATTGTTTAACAAAATCACCTTTTCCTAGATGTATATCTATGCAATTATTAGACTATATATATTTCTAAATAAATGTAATGAGAGATTTTTTAGAGTTTCTAAACAAAGATAAAAGAAATCAAAGTTTTTCATCTTCTTATATCTGTGTTGTATGAAATGTGTTTTGTAGTTGTGGTGTTTTATGATCTGATGTTAAGTTTTAATATTATTTTCATATTTTTTTTTGTAAAATATTTGAATAATCTGTTTTAAGCAATAAATTTTTCTATTATGAATTTATCTTTGGGCTTTATTTTTAATAGTAGTACGTTTTTCATGCTTTTGGACTGTTTAAATGTTACGAAATCAGAATACCCCTTAAAATGTTTCCAAAAATATCCCCTAACAAGTTTCGAAAGCCTGGAAATCTGAACAATTTAAAAAATATCACTTAACCTTTTTTTAAATTAATTATTAGACTATTATTTAAAAGTTTTTTACCAATAAGTATCCTTAATGAAGTTTTCAAAACATTAAAAGACCCAGTGTAGAGTAAAACAGGAAACTAACGGAATCAATTGTAAAATGATATTTTATTGATACATACAAAACATTATCACTAACCATTGCTATCATCGAGTCTGTTTACTAATGAGTCGTACATCAAACAAATATGAATCACTTTTACGTGAAATTTATTCAAAACATACATCATTACAAAATAAACAAATCATTTTAGTTTCAATATAGAAACTAATGGAAAGAAATGATGTGATTCGATTAAAGAAAAAAATATATATGTTTCAATTGGCACAGAATGTGTTTTCTTATACTCATGCAATTTCATTGGGCCCTGATGAAAACACTGAATTAAACAATAGAAGAAAACCATTCGACAAAAATGTTCTGCTACAAAAGTTGGTTATATTGCTATATTATGCTCGATTTAATGATTTACAATTGTGGGAAAGAGATACAAAAATGTCTATTTTATTTGCGTCAAGTGCAGTTCGTGGCCAAATTATTCGACGCACTATAAGATTCTAAGTAAAATCTTAATTACTCAGGTGATACTACACAGCTTTATTGTATTTACGCTACTGAAACCGGTTTGCACTTGTTTACCTTCGTGTATCAATGGGTTAAATTAGACGATATATCATATAAATTCGACGATTGGATAAATTAGATGATATGTTGTATCAATATAGGATATTTATTATATCAGTTATTATATTAGAATAATTAGATCAAATTATTAGACACACTGTAGTGTTTTAATAATTACGTTATTTTACACTAGTTTATAAGCAACGCTTATATTTAAACATGCATGTAATGGGTTTTAATTCAAGAGATTTTTTATATACCTCCCATTTGCATTTATTTTAAACGTATTGCATTACAATGTTAACCAATTGATACACGAACATAAACAAGTGCTAACCGGTTTCAGTTACGTAAAAACAATAAAGCTGTATATAGTATCACCTGATAATTAAGATTTTACTTAGAATCTTATAGTGCGTCTAATAATTTGGCCACGCACTGTATATTGCAGTATTTTAATTCGAAATAAATTGATGTGCTTTAACTACGTTTTGAAACAATTCTGTGTTAATATAGCTGGGTAAGACAGATAATAGTTAGGCAAAAAGAATATTCCGATGATTTTAAAAACCAATCAGTAGTTTTTGTAAATGGATTCAACTTGTTTGGTTTGAATCAATGAATATAAACCAGTCTTCAGTTCAACTTGATTCAAATATATAAACAGGATGATTAGTTGATATTGATTCAGTTGTAACCAAAATAATAGTTCACTGGGACGAAATGGATTCTAAACTTATTCGATTGAAATGATCAAGTTTCAAAAGAAGGATTTGATGCTCTGATTTTGTACGTGGCAGAAACCATTTGCTTTGATCCTCTCTCAAAGTATTTTATTTCAGAGCACTGAAAACAAAATGTTTCGTAAACTTCAACTCCGAACTCAAATATTAATTGACACCTCATTAAAGAAGGCAGATTAGTGTCTTTCCCTCCAGAATTTCGTCTTGAACTTTGTCAGTCGATGTTGAAACCTCTGCTTGCACAGATAATACAGAACAGATGAAGGTAACAATGGTGCTCCCTATGGCAAGGTAGAAGGCTAGACCTGAAAAAAAAAAAAAAAGCATTTGTTAAACATGGTGTGTAGCGTTTTTAAAAAGTGCTTAAAGGTGCGTTTTACATTAAGTGTTTTTAAAAAAGTGCTTAATTTTCCCTTTTCGAAAATGATATTTTTTCTTTACCATGCCGGTTTCTCGCCACTAATTCTGCAAAAAGCATGCTTTTCACATTGTTCTATTCTATGTTTTCACAATTCATTCAAATCCGGATCGTTAAGACACGGTTCCCAGCAGATCACCGAAGTCAAGCATCACTGGCTGCCGTCAGTGAGCAGATGGGTGACCATTTGGATCAGTCTGCGTCCAAATGGTCACCGAGGGTGTGCGGTATGGGTCCTCGTTGAATTGTTCTACCGTAAAGTGCTCGCCTTCGCGTGTGGGTCGTTGGGCTACCGAAGCGGGGGTGCCATCCCCTCTGCAGAGGATCAAAATTGTGATGGCATGTCTTCTGATCATCCTCAGACCGTCACCAATAGCCCATTCAGGGTTCTTGCTCAATTATTTAAAAAAAAAAAAAATAGGACTTTTTTAGGACTAAGAAGAAAAAAAATTAGCACTTGATGTAAAGTAAAAATAACATACTTAATCTATACATGATATTAAAAATGTACAAATGAAGTGTTTAACGATTCATGAAGTAAAAATTACATAATTAATCTATACATGATGCAAATTGCGGCTTAATTTTGTCACAATCTTTTTCCTCAATTTTCTTTTAATTAAAAACAACAGAATAGTTTATTGGACATTTCTCCAGTAAAGTTTCTAACATTTTGGTGATAAACTTTCTGCAAACTTTCTTTATATTCATATGATCTCGGTCAGAAATAACTTTTGAGGCCAACAGCTGCTTTAAAATTTGGTCACCTTCAAAACCTACACTGATTTTTGTCAGAGAGACATAATTCTTTTCATCACAAAAATTAAAATGGCACAGTTTCTCCAGAGAATTTAAGTTTTCTATACATTCTGGCTTCAGAATGTTATATAATTGCACACTATGTAATACCAAATCCTGGATATCTGCAGCAAAAAATGGTAAAAGTGGCCGATCTGCTTGATACAGTTTCAAAAATGGTGAAACTAGCTCCAACACATTTAAGAAAAAGTTCAGCTTAACAAGAATTATTTTGTCTTTTATTGCTTCTTGTAAAGTTAAAAAGGATTTACATTTCACTTTTCTACATTTCACTTTGTAGAATGCATTATTTAAAATATGAAGCCCACAACTTCCTATTGCACGGCATTGAACACCATGTTCTTTTAACAAATCTTCTTGAATATTATTATAAAACTTCCAATTGACAGCAGGACCGTCCATAGAAATCTGCAATAATTTCTTCAGGTCTACATTTTTGACTGATGAATAAAAGCAGGCTAAAAGGTCATCTGCTGCAGAATGGCCCAGAAAAGCTGATGTTAAGTATCGTGTTTCTACAATGTTCTTACCTGGGTTCCAAAAGTGGATATGTATATCTAACTGCTACTGCTGTGTTGCTTTGTTCAAAGACTCATCAAAAAGCAATGTATAAAACTTGGCATTATCAATGCACTTCAGAAGTAGCATGCTAAAATAAGGTGCAAGTCCAAAATGACAGAGATATGTACACTTAGATTCACTGCAGGCGAAATGACGTGCTATTGAACTGTCTGGAAACATTGTACTAAATAATTTTCCAGTGTCTTTGGAAGAATTGTAGGAGTAGTAGCTTTCTACAACTTTTAAAGCCCATAAAATCTCAGAAGAAAGAACTTCTTTCCCCAAAGTCCAAGAATTTTCTAAAAAGATGGAGGCAGCAGAAGAGCCGAAGGCAACAGAATTTAAAGATTTAGGGAAACCGATTTAAGGAATCCGATCGCTAAAAAAAAATTTTCAAAACGCCAAAATAAAAAATATTTAGCACTTTTTTAGCACTCAGAAGAAATTTTAGCACTTTTTAGGCCCTAAAAAAGTTGGGAAAAAATTTTAGCACTTTTTTAGGACATTTTAGGACAGCAAGAACCCTGCCATTGTGCAGCTCTAGTGCGGCGTAAATGAACTATGACAACAATTTGGCGCACCGTCGGTCCGTAGCGTATGAAAGCGCCAATCATTTTACATGTTTGATGAAATACTTGTGAGTCCGAATATGCATCTACTGAGCTGGGTTCGGTGAGATTCTTGCACTCTCATGTGCAACTCTGCTGCATTTTTCAAGATATTCTCAGTTTCAGGCTTCATTTTTCATTTTCTGATATCGAAATGAATAATCTCTCGATCATTTTATAATGTCTAATATAATCAAGAAAAGAGTTCTTTGTCAGAAACTAGTTATTTTATCAGCCGACCGGCCTGTGCAGGGGTCAGGGAACTGTGCTTGCATCAGAAAGGTTCTGGGTTCGAATCCGGCTCAAGGCATGGATGTTTCTTTCTCTCTATTTGTGTTCTATGTCCTTTCTCCTTTGTGACCCGCCCTATAAACGGGTTGTGGTAGTGTGACGTGGGCGACGCTGCTCCGCCACAGGTGCCCACTGGGTTGGGTAACGAAAAGAGAGTTAGCAGTTCTGGCACTTTCTGTGGCCAATGGACAGTAATTCCAAGTGCCCGCCATTTAAAAGAAAAAAAAAAGTTATTTTATCATGATCACGTAAAAGTCTTTGAAAATTATTTTGCATTTTGTTAATGTTTATAGTGCTTAAAAATATTTTTTGGGTACTTAAAAGGTGCTTATTTTTTGATGAAAGATTTGGGTATTCATCCTGTTAAAAATTTGAATTTCTCAGTTTTATGGATGCATAGTAAAAGTTCTGCTTACCTAATGTGCAGTCTCCAGGCCAGAAAGGTTCAGATTTATCACCGCAGATCAAATGTACTCTCCTGCTACTCCAGCCAGCTGGATACAGAATCAGACCAAGAATATAAAACAGCCCTACAAATATACAAATCATTAATAAAAGTATTTTGGAACATATAAAAACTTAGGAACAGTATTACTGTTGTCGTTAAAATAATGTTACTTTTTCTACTTTTCCTGCAGAGGAATGACTGATTTGAGTATTTAAAAAATCTTGGAAACAAAAAGCGACACCAACGGTATTTCTATGTATTATAAAAGCTATAAAATTTTTAAGCCGAAATTTTGGAATTTAGGTCACAATCCCAGAAAGCATGTAACCTTGTGTCGGAATTTTCTTTTTACAGTAGGGAACCGATAATCCGGAATGATCGGGACCTTCCGGATAACTGATTTTTCCGGTTTTCTGAATTGCTACAAAAAGCCGTTTTTTATTGTTAAACCCAACTAAAAAAAATTTTTTTTTGGAAATAATCTTAAAAAGAAGAAAAAACGATGAAGTTATACACTAATGATTATTTCCAAAATGAAGATAACGTGAACATCTTTCAAAAAAGAGAGAAAAATCCTAAAATCTTATGAGGAAAAAAACATTTTTTTTATAAAAATGGCGGGAAAATTTATCGAATTTCGTTCCGGTTTTTTGGTTTTCCGGTTTTCTGATTTCCGGATAACGGGTTCTGTACGTATTATCGCGAAAATGTTAAAAATATTGCAATAAACCAAAAATATTGCAGTTTCAAACCTTTTATCCTAAAAGGATTAAAATTTATTTTTTAAAGCTTTTTTTTAAAAAAAGAATTGTCACTTAGGTCCATGATGACGTTTTAGGTGACGTCACACTAGCGATGGGGTCAAATTGCGTAGTCCATTAAAATTTCATGACAAGGTGGATTTTAGCTGAGCATACAAGACATTGCGAAAAGAAACCTTATAATTACCTAGATTTAAGATTATTTTCAAATTAAGACTTAACTTTATTAAAGGATTTTTTCTCGCTTTTATTTAATTTATTGCGACTATCAATAAAATATTAATAAAAAGGAAAGAAATATCCTTAAGAATGTTTTTGCGTCTGATTTCATAACTTAAATGACACATTAAATAATATTATTTTATAAAAGGTGTGCAGCTGCTGGCCCAATTTTGAGTTTACGGCTATCAATGTTCAACTCCGTAGCTTTGAACATAACCCAGAAAACAAGGTAACAATTGGATCAATCCTTGTGACAAACTAGCCTTTTGATTGAACTAACCAACATTGCACCCATAAGCCTCCCATGGTTTGGTTTACGGTAGAATCCATGATCAACTACTGAGGATATTTTATGACAACACTGAGGTCGTTTGAGCAGAATTCACATTAACCAGTGACTGCTAGGATTCGAATCTGGATCATCTCATCGCGAGGTAAATGCTTCTATCCCCTGAGCCAAAACAGTTCTGAATCAATCATTTTATTTCATGAGGGGGCGTTGAACAGCAGATCCAATTTTGGGTTACGACTGAACGTTCCACAGACAAGGGAACTCCTGGATGAAGTATTGGGAGAGATTAGCCTTCGTGGAGGACTTTTTTGTGGAACTAACCCGCATTTGCGTTACACGGAGAGGAAAAACACGAAAACATCCTACAGTTAACCCGACGGCAAGGGGACTCTAACCCTTGATCCTTCTACCACTGAGATTATTTCACGTCAGCACTGTGGTCTGCTTATCGGCCAGCCATCGCTGGGATTCGAACCTAGTTCACCTCATTGGAAGGCGAACACTCTTTCCCATGAGCCATCACGGCTAAAATAATAATAAACTGTTTGACGGAACTAACTGACATTTGCGTTACTTGGAGAAAAAAAAACCACGGTTTGGCCGACGGTTATGGGATTCCAACCCATGGTCCACCTTCCACTGAGTTTTATGTTCGTCCGGCCATTGCTGGGATTCGAACTTAGTCACTTCATTGGGAGGTGAGCGCTCTATTTCCTAAACCACCGCGATTTGTATTAAATAATTAAAAAATTTTACATGCATTTTCCCTAATCATTTTTAAACTAAGTTTATTATTACTGCGTTAAGTTCTTATCTAGATCACAAATTATTCAATGATTTTTTTCCCGATCACTTATCGATGTTTTTTTAATGATTACCTGCAATGGCTTGTATGGTGCCTGATATGGTGAAGATGCTCTTCTTCATGATGCTCCTGAAACAGCATCCCATGATGGAGGTGAGGAGTGTGAAGATCATGAGGGAGAGTCCGCACCCGAAGAAGATGAGGGAGGCCTTCCAGAAATTTGGAAACTGCTCCGAGGGCATACCGAAACTTGTGACGAAAGGGGCACAGTTGTCTGTATACATGCGATTGATCTCGTGGATTTTGATACATCGATTATAAATACCTGAAAAACGTTAAATAGATAAATACATAAAAATGTTAAATAAATAAATACATACATTTTTTAAAAAAAAAACTTTTATTAGAAACAAGTTTAAGAGTTATTTAAAAAAAAAATTCTCAGCAACTTCTCCCCATTTGTTTATTTGCTTTTGAATTTCTACCACCGAGGGCCTCTAATGAAGATCTGAATTGATGAAAGGTTGAAGTCAGCCAGAAGTTGGCTTCGTAACCACATTCTTCAGAATGCAACCGGAAAAAAGAAAGGAATAAAAAAATTTATGAGATACTTACATTACGACATGAGTCATAACTTCTGTTACTTAGGGAAAAAAATAGAGATGACGCTTATACGACATAACAAAGGTTGTCCCTACGCTAACCGATAGCAATAAAACTTTTGATTTAAAAATAACTTACTTGTAACAGCAGCGTTGAGTACTGTGAGGATAAAACTAACAGATGCCTGTGCAAATATTTCAGTTGAAATGATTTGAACCATCTGTTGACTAACCTTACAACAAAATTAGAAAAATTGATGAGAATAAAACATCTTGTTTCCGAAGGAGAATGCAGCAAACCGTAAGTTTCTTTCTCCTCATTATTTTTTTTTCTTTCAAAAATTTATTTTTAAATTCATTGGTCATTTTTGGGTAACTATAAGTGTCTAGTAAACTGAAAATGTAGGGGAAGAATCAGTTTTTTCTATTGTTGGAAATTTTAAAGTGTTTTAAAGCGTAATAGTTCGTATTCGCTGCAACCATAATATAATCGTCGGAGAGCTTTTTTATTCTGGACAGTGTTCAAAATGTGAGTGCATTTATTTCGAAATTCATCGTTCATTTTTGGAAAGCAATAAGTGCCCAGTAAACTGGAAATGTAGCCGGAAAAAATCAGTTTCTTCTATTGTTAATTTTTCTTAAAGTGTTTTCGTAATAGTTCCAATTCGCTGCAACCATAATATAATTTTCGGGGAGCTTTTTATTCTGGACAGCGCTCAAAATGCGTGTTTAAGAAAACAGACACAGTTCAATATGAGTATTTAAGAAAACAGACACAGTTCAAATGCGTGTTTAAGAAAACAGACACAGTTCAATATGAGTGTTTAAGAAAACAGACACAGTTCAATATGGCGTGTTTAAGAAAACAGACACAGCTCAAATTGGGTGTTTAAGAAAACGGACTCAGTTCAATATGCTCTTGTGAAATGCGTGTTTGAGAGTATAGACATAGAACTATTTAAGAAAATGAACACATCATTTGATTTTGTTTTTATATATTCTCTTTTGAAGACTGCTCTTTTTTTTAAAGAATAAAACTAATGGAACTTAATAATTGTAACTAATGGAGAAAATATTACCTAGAGATGGTGAATAAATTTCTCTCTCTGCTGTTTCTACTCTAGCCTTCAGTCCCGGCCTCCTCGGAGCTCCTATCAGCCATGTTGGTGTAACTACGGCGGCCAACATGGCTAATGTTGTAGCTATCGTCAAGAGCGTCCATAGAAGTGTCCTTGACGTCACGATGACATAACACATTTCGAACACCCTGGTAAAGAATAAAATTAAAAAAACTAATGACTAGTGTTTCATATTTAGCATCGATTTTTACATTTCTGAAATAACTTTTAGAAATATTTTTTTAGTACAAGTCGTGAGAAATTTCTTGAATTGTAATGTGTGTGTGTATACAAATAATAAAATAAAATAATATAAAGAGAAAACTATAAATGGGAAAAAAACCAATAGTCTTCTTCACGACACATCTATTGGTATAATTGAATGCGATATTTCTGAATAAAGAATAATTATCCTAAGATAAAAATTATTCTTTAAATGTGTCGATATCACAATATATATATA